GATCCTGTCTGGCGGCGGCGCATGAGGGGCTGGCGGGCGTGGCGACGGCGGGCGAGGGGCAGGCGGCTTCGGGGGCCGTGGCGAGGGTGGCCGCGGCGGCGGCGGAGCGGGCGGCGGCGGCCTGGGTGGCGGCGGCGGCGGCGGCCTGGGCGGCGGAGGCGGCGGCGGCCTGGGCGGCGGCGGCCTGGGCGGTGGAGGCGGCGGCGGCCTGGGCGGCGGTGGCCTGGGGGGCGGTGGTCCGGGCGGCGGCGGCCGGGGGGGCGGCGGCGAGGGTGGCGGAGGTCGCGGCGGACGCGGGCTGCATGCCAGAGTGGTGTGGGTGAGCCAGCAGGGTGAGCCGACAGGATACCTCACTTTTGGCGCCGCCATGCTGGCTAGCCAATGCACAGCAGCAGGGAGCGGCGCAAGGAGGGCCAGTGCCGGAGGGCGCACACAGCACACACTCAACACGGCCGCAGCAAGCTGCATGGTTTGTCAGCAGTCGCAAAGAGCATTTGGCTCGCACCTGGGCGGCGGCGGCGGCGAGGGGGGCGGCGGCGACGGCGGCGGCGAAGGGATGACGGGGATGCTGCGCTGCTGCTTGTTTGTCACTGCAACAAGGGCAAACCAAAGCATGCCGCGCCATCGCCAAGCCGGGACCAGCAAGCAGCACAACAGCAGCAGCAGCAGGCCAAAGCAACAGCAGCAGCAGCAGCAGCCGGAGCGGCGGCAGCGGCTGCCGTCGTGGAGTGGCAGCATCCAAGCCCGCAGCGCTAGCCACATGCCCCCACCCCCGCTCCATGCGCCTCACCTCCAACTGCTACATTGCTGGCCAGGGCTACCAGCAAGGCGGTGAGCACCCATAGAATCACCGCGCTCTCCAGGCGCCAGCGGAAGAGGTCGGCGCCGTACAGCCACTCCTCCTCCTCCTCCTCCTCCTCCCGCGGTTCAGATGATATTGATGAGGCGTGCAAGTTATCCGTGAACTTGCTGGGCGAGTTTTCCGCCCAGAGGCTCGGCAAGGAGGAGGAGGGGTGCAGCGACGCCCCAGCCTCTGCGCCCGCGCCAACGCCGCGTACCGTCTCCATTGTTGCTGCAGCCGCCTGCTGAATTGCAGCTGCAGCAGGCAGGCCTATCTCAGCAGGGTAGGTGGGCCGGCTCGCCAAATGTGAGGCATGTGCACGGCCAGGCTGCTTGCTCCAGGACCAAGCTATGCGGGTGGCCGTGAAGGCGACGGCGGCGGGATTCGCCGTTTTTGGCGTGGATGGGAAGGAGTTGGATGGCTGACCTGGCGCCAGCGCCCGCCGCCCGCTCGCGCGACAGAGCGCCACAGCATGATCCATCACAGCCTCCCACATCGTTATTTAAAACTTGAAGTCAGAAGCATGAAGTGATGGGCCATGTGCATGCGCCTCAGCCGGCAGCAGCAAGCGAGCCGCCGCTGCCGACGCCGGCCCCAGCCGAGACCAGCTGCCGCAGAAGGCCGGCCATCTCCGCGCACGCCGCCTCCACCCGCGCCACTCGCTCGTCAAGCCTGTGCAGCGCTCCCAACACCTGCTGCTGCTGCTGCTGCTGCTGCTGCTGCTGCTGGCTGTCAGGCTGCGCCGCCGGCCAGCCCGGTTCCAGTCGCGCAGAGGCGCCGCCGCTGCCGCCGCCTTGCTGCTGCGGCTGCTGCAAGACCGACTTGGCGATAGCCGCCAGCAGCGCTCGCTTGGGGTCCTGCGGCACCAGCTCGATCCCTTCGCCGTCCCTGCTGCCCTCTGCCGCCACCAGCCTGCTGAGCATGCTCCTGACCTCATCAATCTGGGAGCCAACCAGCTCCGCCTCCGGGCTCCCGCCTGCACCTGCTGCGCCGTTGGCTGCCTGCTGGTAGCCTGCAGCGCCCTCCGAGCTGGCCGGCACAGTAGCGCCGCCTGGTTCAGGTGGCAGAAGGTGAAGGCTGCCAAGGTGGAGCAAGTCCTTGCGCGCCATTGACAGCAGGCGCAGCGTGACCGCTGGCGGCGCCCGCCACTGCAGCTGCGTGTCCCACCGATGCTCCATGCGCCACATCTTGGGCACTGGCTCCTGCTGCTGCTGCTGCTGGTGGGGCTCTGGTTCTTGCGGCGTGTGGCGCTGCTGCTGTGTGCCCCGCAGGGAGCAGATGTAGCTGGGCGGATCCGCCCCGCTGAGGCTGTACAGCTCGCAGATGCGGGCGCTGCTGACCAGGGCGAAGCCGGCCGCGCCCTGCAACGATGCACATAAAGCAGGGGCCGCTCAGTGTGGAGCGGCATCAGCGGGCGGCGGCGGCGGCACTCAACATCCCGCCCCACAGCGACGATCATATAGCCTCGCCTGTGGCAGTTGAAGCGTGATCTCGCACCGCGCTCTGTCGCCGGGCTGCCGGTAGCTTGAGCCGTCGTCAGCGGGCGGCCATGACATGGTAAATTCCGCAGTCTGCATCGCAATCACCGCTAATTGATGGGTTCTAGGCACGCAAATGCAAAAGGCAGCGGGTTTGGCGGAGGACACGAGGGCCGCTACCGGAGTAAGAAACCTGATGACCCATCTGCACTTGTTTGGCGCTGCCGCATCTGTTTGTGATGCGTTGCATTCGCAGGTAAGAGCTTGCGGGGTTTGTTGTTGCTAAATGGATGGCCGGTTTTGGCCTTGCGTTTCACAGGGCACAAACAAAGCTATGCATTGTCGGTGCTATGCTGGGGTGCAGATGACGGCTGCAACGGGGGAAGACGTTCAGCGAGTGCACTAATCGCCACTGAAACGGCGAATCGCCCAGCCCTCGCCTGCTGCACGCTCGAGGGCTAAGGGGGAGCACCGCACAGGCGCCGGAGCGCTGCCCGGAAGCATGGAGAGGGGCGGCAGCGGCGGTGGCGGCGTGCCGCCAGCAGAGCGGGAGCCCAAACGGGAGCGGCCACGGCGATCGCCCTCGCCGCCTGGCAGGGAGTGCGAGCGGGGCAGGGAGCGGGAGGAGTCGCGGCGCTCGCCGCCTAGGAGGCGGCGCGACTCTCGGGAGCGCTCTGGCAGAGAGGACTGGGGCGATAGGCGTGGGCGGGAGCGCGACACGGCTCGCCAGCGAGACGCCGATGACCGGCGGCGCGGCCCGCCAGAGCAGGACCGCAGCCGGCGGCCGCGCTCGCGGTCCCGCTCCCCTAGGGATGGCGCCAGCAGGCGGCAGGCAGGTGCGCGCCACCTCGTGCCCCGCAGCGTGCAGCAGCAGCGCGGCGAGGCGCTGGGCGGCGGCAGGAGCCCTCCTCCTCCGCGCGGCGTGGCGGCGCCCGAGCCCGCTGCGAGGCCGGATGCCGGGCCGGCGGTGCAGAGCGGCGCGCCGG